CACACACACACACACACACACACACACACACACACACACACACACACACACACACACACACACACACACACACACACACACACACACACATACGCACGCACACACGTACATACACACACATCCTGTGTATAGAATATACGTGTATGTATGTATATTGTACGGCACATAGGTTCGCGTACGGTGATCAACGATTTTTTTTTTTTTTTCGACTAGTGTTTTATGTATGTACATGGGCACTCATATTATATATTTATTACACGAAAGTACGTTGTTTTATTAATAATAATACGTAGAACTATCTGTGTTACGTCATTATTGTTCTCGCCGGTATAATATTGTAATGGATACGGTTTTTATCGCCGGCGTAATGATATTAATACAATATATACCTATGATGATACATACACTGCTGGTGTACGGGTATCGTTGTCGTCGTTGAAAATAATGACCTTTAAATATTTGCACCTATACACGTCCAACTTCAAGTGATATTATTAAGGAATTCGAGTGGAAAAAAAAAAAAGAAAAAGAGTAATTTGTGTTTACGGCGCCGTCTGCGCCAATATCACCCTGAGTTCTAACTGACGCATAAACTTCTAATGGCGGAAAATTTATAACATCAAAGCGGCTTCTGTAACTGGCAATTTTATTGTTACAAACTCGTTAAAAACTTGTCAAACTGGACACATACACACACATACATTATGTATTTATTGTTTACAGAAATAACTCTTGTAGGAAAGCATATACCTCTACGTAACAGAAGCACACATATATAATGCCTTTTTATCATAATTTGCCCTCTATTTTATGTTTGAGCGTATGACCAATGGAAAATTGTACAAATTAAAAAATGTTTTCACGTTGTATTCAAATCAAAACATCTTTATATAGTTATGTCAGAAAACCAGTGCAACACTTGAATTTGGTGAAAGCTGTATAGAAACTGTCCTGGAGGCGTTTTATTTCAAGTATTTGTATTACTAATAATTATATAATATTTAAGCTATACCGAAATAATGATAAATATTAAAACAGCTAACGTTATTAAAATTGTTTAATTACATTTTTACATTCGTTGACTTAACTGACATAACCTATGAATATTGTAAGTTACCAATTCATTTTAAAGAATATATATAATAGCTGTGAAAATGAACAATACAATATTATTTAGCAATAGCAGTGTATAAAATATACATTGTACTTTTAAGTTAATTTCATAAACTAAGTACATTAGTATTACTTCAAGGTTATTGTATTGTAAAATGAATATATATATGTAAATATTAAGACCAATAGATAACCTTAAGATTTTCTAAGAAAAAGAGATTGTACAACATAAAAAAAAAAACGGTGCAGCAAAAATAATTATAATAAATTTAGTTTTATTTTGCATTATATTATAATATTTTATATACCGTATATAAGTGTATAATAATAATGATTTTTGACTTAGTATAAAACTATAAAATATAGTAACTTACATAAGGCGCATGAAAAAAACATAGTAATAAAAAAAAAATTACGATTCAAAAAATATAATACAACTATTGTTTCTTATTTTTACTCGGCTGTTGCGCTTGTGGGTCGTCTTTGAACCAATTCTCACTAAAGAACAATACACATATATATTTATTAACTATTAGAAAACGAAACGAAAAAAACAAATTATCAACATTTATAAATTATGTACATATAATCACATATATTTGTTTTGCAGATTTATAATACATATTATTTTGTTGTGCACTCACCATCCGGGCACGTTTTCGGGTTGATCGCACTTTTGTGACTCCTCGTTGAAAACCTCGCCAGTCGAACATCCTTGTTCCCTGGGAGTGATGCCGTTCAGGCACACGTAGAACTTCTGGCAGTCGTCAGGATGCGCGTATACGGGATGTGCCACATTTTGGCCCCGGCTGTTGTGGGTCTTTTCTTTGGGGCACATGAAGCCGTCTTTCAGTTTCACTGCAAAAACGTGTAAACAGTTAAGTACTACAATCTAAAAGCCATCATTACAAACGTTTTTTCCATTCATTTCCCTTTCTTTCTTTCTCTTTCTCTCTTTCTCACTTACTTTCTTCCGGTTCACCACATCCGGTCCGGCCGGCCGTATCTGGCCACGCGCATGTGCCAGCGTATTCGTCGAAATGCAATCCGTTGGGGCATACGATTTCCGTACCCTCGCCTTCAATGCAGTTGTAGAATATATTGCAAATCTTCTCGTCTGGGTGCGCAAAATAGCCATTACGTCTTGGACATAGATAGTTGGACTGCGGGTTTTCTATGGTGAATAGATTAAATATTTGTTTTAAATCGTATTTAGTCACGAACAACATACTCGTAATACATTACGGAAGGGCGGACAAAAGAAATAAAAATAAATTGTCCGTTTAATTGAATGAATTTGTTTAAATCAAAATTATATATAACATTATGTTGATTGAACTTACGGAGTTCGGTACGTTCGCCGCAGTCCACACTGAATGGCTGATCGCATTTGTTCACTTTTCTGTTCAGCGGGTCAAAAACTAATCCGTCTGGACACAGTTTTGCTGTTGCCACGCCGTCTTTGCACTCGTAGAATTTATCACATTGCACTGGATCTTCGTACTGGCCATTTTTCTTAGGGCATTGGAACTGACCATCTAAATGCCACGATGAAATCGATATCAATAATAATAACAATCACAATAATAATATTATAGTTAGTAATAGTAAAATAATATTTATTTTAGTTCTTACTGTAAAATTCTTAAAAATGTAAACCTGATATTGCTCACATAAAAGGGTTATTGCTAATTTATTATAAATAAATAAATAATAATAATAATAATAACAATAATAATAATAGTTATATAAATAGTAAAAAGTCTTTTCACCGAATGGAGTATTTTTATGTGGTAATGTAGAGTAAATAAAACGTCTTAACGTAACGTGGACGGGTGGAAGATAGTGAAAGTGAATTCTTTGGGACGAACGCGTGCGTGTAATTCTGTGCGTTCCTTTGTAACGACACCAGTGGGTGTTAAAATATTTTTCTACCTTATGAAAAAAAATGCCATAAATAGTAATCAGATATTTCTCGTTTGTGTTTTGGAACCGAAATTATAAAATGTATAATATATACGTCATCCGACCAAGTCGAGTATCACCGAAATGTTCTGGATGATAAAACACCGTGAAGAAACTCCGGAAGACGGATATTTATTCGGTCGTTTCTTAAAAAATAAAAAATAAATACTGTAAAAATACAGCATTTAAAATAATAATATATATCTATAGTAAATAAAATGAATTAAAAGTCTTACTTGTTAAATGGGATAGTCCAATAACGATCGTGCACAATACTATTGAGAGGTTCATAATTGAAAACTTAATGCGTGATGATATGTGCAAGCGACTGCGGCCTCGGCGGAAGAACAGGAAACCATTCTATAGTTTCTCCCACTTATTCGGCAGTCGCATTTACTACATGAAAATCTGAAGTGAAAAAAAAATTGTCCGATGAATCGATTTCATATTGAGGTTTTTCAACAATACGGCCAATAAACTCACAGGCACTGTATCAAATCTCTATACTTCGGTATCGTTTACGATACGACATATTAATATACTCATAAATATATATACGTGTATATAATACTCACATAAAATACAGACGTACCACGTAAAAATATGTGTAATCGTACCAGTTTACGAATTACAACAAATATACATTAAATGCAGTTGTACTCCTCGGGTTATAGAACTTTAGTGGCCCACTAATTTATCATCGACACGCATTTTACCGTGTTGAAAAAATAAGTTCTAATCTTTTACTTCTGCTTGAAAAATACTCACGATATTACAGTAATACTTTTTAAATAGAAAAACTGTAATAAAAATAAAGTACGCAAGCCTTTTTAGAGTTTTCAGTGGTGATAATGCATATCATTGGTAAATAGATATATTTTGTTAAGTATAAGTACATTAAGTATTATTGTATTATAAACAAGAGAAATGTATTAATATAATTTATTGATTAATTGTATATATAAAAAAATTATCTAACGGTTAAAATTTGTGAATAAATTTAATGATTATGTCAAATTAAAAATTTCAAGGACTTTTTAAAGACATTTTCAAGGATAAAACGCTTATATATTATTTAAATATAACATCCGTCTTCATATTAAGTTCGAATAGATTTTAAAATGTTGTGAACTTGATTTATATTCATAGGATTATTTACTGATTCAAATTTTTAACAATATTTTCATTTTAAATCTATATTTGGAAAAAATAATAAGATACCGTACAAAAAAAAAAAAAAACCCCTTTAAACTTTTATACCGTTATCGTAATATAATAAAGTGTACGTACCGAAATTTTTTTTTCACATAATGATCTTGTATTTCTTCTTAAAATGTATTGATCAATTTAATATTTTATGTTATTAAAAATACGTTCATACAACAGGTTATTTATCTTATGTTCTTGATGCACTATAAACTATATGTCCGTTGTGATTTTCACCATCATAGTTATCAATATTTTATTAAAATTACTATTATTGAGTACTTGAAAGCATTATTTTACAATATTTTATAATAAAAAAAATCTATAATAAGCATTTATTTTATTAGCCTTAAAAAGGTTTTATTATTTCTAATTTATTATGTTTTTTACTATTATATATTTTGGACGTAAATAAGTAGTCCGTATGTACTATGCACGTCTCATATTTTATAGACGTATTTAACTATTATTAACTAGGCTACTAGATGTTTATGATTTTAGCAATATATATTTAAATAAATTATTATTTATTATTATTAATTTATTAATATAATTAAATTATTAATAATAATATTAAAATGCATGTGACGTCTATCATTAATCGGTTACATTTTATGGTTAACACTTGATTTATTTATCCTAACCTAACCATGCTATCATTAAAATTTAATTTAATGTATAATATAAACTTTTTTCATTGATTAAATAGTTAAAATGTGTCATTTCATAAAAAAAAACTATTCCCATTATAATAGTTCACTTTTGCACTTTATATATAATATATATAATAATATATAATAAACCTTATGCATAATGCATAAATGTAACTAAATGTGAGGTTTTCATTTCGTCATTTATAATTTCTCATAAATTTTCATTATTCTACAATAATTGCAAAAATAAAGAATGGTTTAATTTTTATTGATGTTCTTAAGTTTTTTTTAACAGATACTTCAACACCAGCATTATGAATACATAATGATTACTTTACTGGAGAGCGATTCCTGAACAAGCGTTAGAGTCTTATATAGTTAAGAGTTCAGAATAAATTGCGTCAAAAAAATGTCCTCATATATTGGACTCAATCATCGATATGATCGAGTAACGTGAACAGTATAATTTGTTAATTATTAATGGCTGACAATATAATATTTTTATTTACTAGTTGTATTTAGGTTTAGTCTTTTAAATCAATGTATGTAAAGGAAACTACATTCATTTGGGTAGTTTTTTTCAACTGTTTTAAGGTAATAATATGATTAATTGATCATACACTATGTTATAATCTGAAACTAAATATAAACGAAATTTTAGGATGGATTTACTGGAAGACTCTTTATTATAAAACGAAATAAATTATAATACATGTACAATGTAATTTAACTAGTTCTTGGCACCTCAAAATTCACAAGGTTACATAAACCATATTATTAAAATTATTAATTATTATTATTTCTCAATCGACATTTATTGCAATAATAAATAAACTGATTGTATAATTTAAAATTTGAATACAGATATAATTTGTAAAACAATTAAAATAAAATCTTTGTAGAACATTTATGTAAACATAATTCATTTTTAAAAATTATTTTAATAGTACACTTAAACATAAAAATGAAAAAAAACAATAATCATTTTAAGTGAAAATATATCATTTATTTTTAATTTCGACCTAATGTTCGAATGAGATCAGTTTTCCTGATACAATTATTGGAAATATCGAATTACAGTACAACAATTAGTTTCTTTTATTCTTCGTCTTGTGCGAATGTTCGTCTCGTGGTTGTAGGTCTCGATGGCTTTCGTCTATTTGCTGCCGCCTCTTTGTCTTTGGCCGAATCTTTTGGTTTTGGATTTTCGAGATTGTAGAGCTCTTCATCAGTCAATACGCCTTTATACCAGTCGGCACTGAAAAATATAAATACGTGCATCATAAATGTATAATCACTTTTTATAGGAATAAAGCAATTGCAATTGCAATGGATATCTTTAAATATATAAAATATAATATTAAAATGCATATCATGTCATTGCGTGATTTTTTTTATGCGCAAATCTGTTTATCAATGATAATGAGTAAATAATGTTCTGCGACGACAAACGAAAAGGAGATCATTTTTCTAAACTTATATTCTATAAATAATATAGAATTATTTTTTTCTTACCACTCGGGAACATTTCTCGGCCAATCGCATTTTCCTGACGCTTCGTTGAACACCTGTCCCATTTTGCAGCCATTTCTCCTTGGCGTGTCACCGTTGACACATACATAAAAAAACTGACAGTCTTCAGGGTTTGCGTACCTGGGATGTTGCAATGCGATTTCCATAGTTACGTTGGGGCATTGAAAATTGAATACATCTAAATTATCGATATAATTTTATTTAAGCATAATTTACACATAGATATTTTCATAATATATATATTTAAATCATTCAGCAGAGAACGAAACTAAGGCACCATGGTTTTAATCGGTTTTGAGCATATTTTTATTTTATTTTTGAACTTTATTTTCAATTACCGATTTACTCTAAAAAAATGATTTTATAGGGTCGAATATATAAATAACTATGAAAAATTCGAGCTGCAAAAATAAAATAAATCGCTGGCGGTGGGAGTTTAGAACGTTTACCGCGTATTTTGATACGGGTCCAAAATCTCGTGCTCATTTTGGCAATCTAACAAACATTAACATATATCGTATCTATACGTAGATCATGTTGTTTTTTCTGTGGTTTATTATAGCGTACTGATGGCCAGAAATCGTATTAAAGTGATGTAAAAAGAGTGGTAAATTTCTGACAAATTTGTTGTGAAAACGAATCAAATGACCGAAATTAAATTTTGAGAGTTCAAGAGGGAAAAAGTAATTGCACACATTAAGCATAGTTTAATTTATTTACCTTGTGATGAACATCCTTTTTTCTTGGCTTCATCTGGCCACGTGCAAATGCCAGTTTTCTCATTGTACACTAAACCAGCCGGACACGTGATCGCGTTAAATTTACCATCCACGCAGTAATAAAATTTGTCGCAAATTTTTTGATTTTCATGAGCAAAATAACCATTTTGTCTTCGGCAGTGTTCAGATGGTTTAGGTTCCTCTGAAAAAGAAAAAAAAAATTTAAAAATTAATTAAATGTGTTTAATTTAAAAACTCAGATTTCTTCAAAGATTTGACTAGCTTTATTATTTTTTTATATTACAATCGTAATTTACTTTTGTTGTCGAATTTAATAATTTATATTTAAGATTTTAGAAAATTCACTACATTAATTATTTAAGATAAAGAAATTTCTGGATAGTTCTGCAGTCGGTACGTTTTGTTTAGTCGTATACCGTCGAGAATATTGATAGAATATTTATGGAGATACACAAATGTTCTGTATTCTAACAGCTACCACTTTGTTTGGAACTCAAAAAGTTACAAACTAATTTATGTGTAAACATAAGATCGATTTATTATCGAATATAAAAACTGCCATGGTTTTATTTATCATCTCACAAATGTTTATTAACACATTGGACAATACTTGGTATTTTATAAACCATATTATATGTAGTATGCCAAAAGTCGTTTATTTCTATTATTGTAATATTTGTATTTTTTTTTTCAACAGCGTTATTAAACTTGTTAAAATAGTTTTATATACATTGATACAGTATTTCGTAGATAATAACAAATGTATGTGTTGTTAAAATGTTATTAGAGTGCATGCAATTTGTTAAAAATATAACATCAATCATATCTTGCTACGCTAAGAAAATATTATTTCGAAAATGTTAAATCATTAGATTAAATTAATTCCTTGTCAGACCTTAATAAATCTTCTAAATAATATGATAAGTAATCGTCGATTCATCATCCACCTCAATAACGATACAAAAAGTAAGAAGACAACGCTTAACAGTTTTTCCTCAAGGTTCTTCTTTGGCTCCACTGCTGTTTACTCTATATATTAGTGACTTACTAAGACAGTTTTCAAGCAATTCATATACATGGAGGATATATGTATCGCAAACCAGGATGAATATCTTGAGACCTTCGCAAACACGCTCAGTTCAGATCTCCAAAATATAAACAAGTTCTTAAAACAATAAAGACTACCCCAGAATACAGCTTGGAAATTATTTACCGAGAAACCAGGCTAAGCAAGCACTTCACCCAAAATATTTGGACTTCACTCTAGACAGGACAATATCCTTTAATTAACCAACGTTGAGTCTAAGATCGAATCCCTTATCAATATAATTAAAAAAATGATAGGTACAGATTGGGGAATTAACTTCTGAAAACTGAGAACTTCCACTATCGCTTTAGTCTACTCTGTAACTGAATTGTCTGTTCTCTGGTTTGGTTAAATAGCATAGATGCCAAGAAGGTGGATACCAAACTCAATTAAAGCATGCACATTATATCAGACACAGTAAAGACCACCCCCATCAACTGGTTACCTGTTCTTAGGCATCATCCTTTCTCCTCAGAATCGTTTGCAGATATCGTTGCTTAAATTGTGGTCAAAACTCAGCAATAATATGAACATTCTACATTTTGTAAAAACCAAATCACGCAAACTTATGTGGGAAACCGCTATTGAACTCAACACTGTTAAATATGATGCAATACAATGCTTGAAAGATGAATGGAAAAATCCGAGCTAAGTAACTCTTCTCTCATTAAGAATCTACCGAGCAAACAGGTTGGCTTCATTCTACCAAGGAGATCTGAGCAACCATAAACCGATTGCGCACAGGTCATGAAATAATGGGATACCCTTATGCATATACGAGGCATTACTCCTAACCTATGATATGACTGCGGTCAGGGCCGCATTTAGGGTGGGGGGAAGCACTGGCTACAACTGCTCCGGGTGCCAGTTTTTTTGGGGGTGTCAAAATTTTGTGGTCATTTTGCTCACTTGTGAATTATTGATCTTTTAAAACTATTTTAAAATTATTATTTTTTTGTTTTTAATAACGGTATCATAAATTAATGTTAATGTATTTAACTTATTAATATATATTATTAATGTATTTATAGCAATATAGTTATCAGCGGTCAAAAATAATATTAATATACCTAATATTATTTATTTGTTATTATCGCGTGCGGCGTGCGGTGGCGTGCCTACTACACAAAAATAGCATTGATTTCAGAATATCTAAAAGGTTTATGAGGATCTATCTCATATATTTTCGTGGGTAGGTCTCTTAGAGGAGCCTCAACCAAAACATAGAACGTATCACGCAAGATTGCCCTAAGAAAAAGTTAGAAGGAACGCTCGAGGACATTTTTAATACGACCCCTGAAGCTATTAAATGGGTGAAAAGTTTGGATATTTATTTATAACTTGTTTATGTTATTATACTGTCGTTAAATACATCTTACCGCTTGACATATTATTACTAATGCTATCTCTGTTTTGTCACCTGCTTATTACTATTCATAAATTATACATATTGATAAATTGTCTATGCCATACGAAAAAATTAATAAATCGCTTAATTAAACGTTGAACGACTAATAATGTACACAAAAGTTGCCTTTACACAGCCATATCATAATCATTGTTATAGGTAATAAAATGATATGATAATAAATTGGAATTATTTTGTTGATCGATTAATATATCTAAACGTGTGTATAATACATGTATTCGGGACGCCCGTGCATGAAAATTTCATCCTTGGAAATATTCACCGAAACTTGAATATCGGACGGATAAAATTGTTGCTCATCGTGTTTGATAAAAATAATATGTATGTAATAATGTAGTATTATATTCTCTCGTCGGCGGAATATTGCGGGCACACGTGGATATAATAATAATACATGTTACAATGTCTCTAGCGCATGGTTTGGTTCCACTGCAATATAATATATTGTTATATATTTGTATATGTAATGCGTTATAAGAATACCCATTTAAAAATCGTGCGCATGGAGACAATGGAACCGCACACTATATTTACATATTATTGTTGTATAATAACCGATGCCGCAGTGGCAGCACAGATGTCGTAATACGGGCACTATGTAATATATTATATTACAGTATCGAAACGGTTCGTAATGAGCAACGTAATAATAATAGTGATAATGATAACAATAATATGCGTCTCGCGTATACGACGCGTCTCGTATGCGATACGTATGCACGTTTAACAAACGCACACATTGCGAAACGGAATCGCTGAGTTTATGTTGCTCGTGTACGCAATTCTGGTTGAAAAAACGTGGTAATCCGACAGTCATTACATCTGTACGCGAGCGGGGGGAAACTTCGAGACGAGTTAAAAATTGTACGCGGTGTAAGTGGCGAGATTTCCGAAAAATTCGAAAAACACTATTGCCCGGGAGAGCCGATTTCTAGTCGAATTTTTCGTCGGTTTAACTCAATCGCGCTGCGCGTTCCAACAGAGTTGCCGGTGCCCCACATGGTCGGATTACGCGTGAACAAATGTGTTTCCCCCGACCACAGCTTCCGCTCCAACATCATGCGAAGCGGCGAATCGTTAAGATCGTCGATTCTCGCGGAATGGCGGCGCACGCGGGCGATTTCGTCCCTTGGAAAACGCGCGGATAACATTACTGGAACGCGTCCGAAAACGGTAATACAAAAAACGTGTTACCGTGGCCACCGGTCAACCGTAATTCACCTTCGTGGTGTACGCGTTGCAGTATTGTAGGGCGCGTGCACGATTCGTGTGTACGTGGAAGAGAGTTTTGTTTTGACGAACGAACGGTGTTCGCGAACCGTACCGACGAGACGCGGTCGGAAGACGTTCGCAAGCTTTCTAGACGCACCTGGCACGCCGCTCGTGTATATTTATCATTGCGTAATATTTGCGCGACGAAATTGAAAACGGCGTGACGCGGACGCACTGTCGCGCGGGCGCGCACGCTTAACGTGCTATAATTATACGCGGAGTCTCGACGGGCTCGAAAAGGTACGCCTAAAATAAGACGCGGTCGCGCGCGCCGTTCGCGTCACACACGCCATCGGCTCGGCGTCGGTGCTTGTCTTTTATTTATTATTATATTTTTATTTTTATTTTTTTTCTTCGGCGGTTTTTTTTTTTTTTTTTTTGGCACAACTCTTGAACCGCTCGCATCGCACGTAATAATAATAATAATAATAATAATAATAATAATGTATATTTAAGCGCGCGTACGACGGGATAATAATATACGAGAAAATATCGACACGATGACGTAGCGCGTGATCAATCGAACGGCTCGCGCCGGTGACAGTTGCGCTATCGTTCTCGTCACCCCGAACGCAATATACCGTTACCGTTCACGTACAACTGTACGATTGATTGCAGCAATCTACTAGTCGTTTAAGGGATACCGCGTTTACCAGCGGTAACCGTTTTCAACACGTAACACTTCATCCAGGGACCGCGGTAAAAAATAACCCATTGTTTTGATCCGGTTCACCAGAGGTTCCCAACAGCCGGTTATCAGGGGTCCGCGGTCGTGTTCGAAGTGAAAACGGCGAGCACGCAGTCACGAAACACTCGGGCGAAATTATGAACGAAAAGGATACGTTTCACTTGAGATCTCATGAGATTCGAAAATCATTACTGATTTAAATGATTCGTTCTTCGTAAGCATATTATAAACAAATAAATCCCCGGTTCAATTTAAACCTTAGGTAATCGGAAACCACTGCGAATAACAGGGATTTCTATAACGGTTCAATATTACGATTCTTTGGCGATATCGCTTTGCAAACGGTTTCCGCATTATCACTGATGCTGTCGCAGGACAACTATAAATCGACTAATAAACATACAGCAATATAAAACATTATACTCACGTAGAGCGGGTCGCTGCGAACAGTCAATGTTCAGCGGCAGGTCGCATTTCTCTTGCGCCGAACTGTAATCGTTGAACACCATACCATCCGGACACAGTTTCTCGGTGATCTTGTTGTTCGAGCATGCGTAATACTTGTCGCATTGGGTTGCGTCTGCGAAGAAACCGTCCGGTTCGGGGCACTCGCTTTCTAGCTGTTCGCCAGCCGCTTCGCTGTCGTCCTCGATGATTGGCCGCCGGGGTGCGATCGTCGTCGTGGCCGGTCGTTTCCTGTTGGATTGGCCACTCAGAAGAGCGACTGCAGAAACGATATTTGTTCATTTCACTTGTCAAATACGATGACGCGTGTGAACACGTGCCTGTATTGTGTGTGTGTGTGTGTGTGTGTGTGTGTGTGTGTATGTACATTGTAGACCATCGTACAGTGTTTTAGCTTTTAGATGTATTTTTTATTAGGTACAAACGTTCGCGAGTATTTTGTTACCATTCTCCTGCATACACTTATATATTAATATCAAATAATATTCGTATCGCCTATATATATATATATGTGTGTGTGTGTGTGTGTTCATTGTCACATGGAAAAAGCGTACTAGTACACAAAATTTTGAATTCGGGTCAACGACGTTCGTAGAAAAAAACGCGAATCATGTCCGTGGTGGACATCGAGAACAAAAGGGACGAGATTACAAGGAAAACGCGCTTTTTGAGTGACCACTGGTGACTGCTTTTTGCGAACAAAAAGGAAAACGGTTTTTCTTTCGCCCTCCCCCCCCATGCCCTCTTCAAAATATTACGATAATTGTAACAGTATGTTTCCGACATTGTCATGCGAACACTGTCGGTGCACGTACACTCCATATACATTGTATGATACGCGTATATAGGCGATGTCGCACACCGCCGACCGTTCAAAAAAAAACTACACTCCCAACTGCTGTTGTTTCTTTTCCATTGTGTGTAGGATGTTCTCATCGGATACTACGTGTGCAGGTATAACATTAATATGTGGTGCGTACGTGCGCGGTTTGAAAACCGTCCGGATAGTCACGATTTCATAACCGTAATTTTTTGGATACGGCCAAAGATTCACCACCGAACGATTAATTTTTACAACAGTTTTATATAATACATGTGTTCGTGTACATACGACGATGCATTATGTACGTATAATAATAATAATATACTAAATACGTGTATTAACGCGTACGGTGTTTCGAATGTAAAAGATATTTTTAATCGCCGCGCTATCCGGCAGCTCAGACCACTAAGAATTCACAGTGTTCTCCTAAATTACATCGCGACTACGTTACTTGGATATGGTCCAAAGCAATAACACATTGCTGCACGGTAGGAAAAGAAAAAAGTTTAATGGCCTGAAGGCGATTGACACGGTGTCGATATTATTATTTTTGCGTCGACTATATTATTATTATTATTATTATTATTATTATTATTATTATTATTATTATCATTATTATTATATCATTGAAACAGACACTTATACGTATGTATGCGCATACGCATACACTCGCACACGCAGACGTCGTTACAATAATGAACGGAATGCGATGTGTATTTCAACACCACACCCTTTATTGTGTGTGGTGGACGACCGCGAAAAGAAAAAAATGTATAAATCGTTTAAACACGCTGACGAACCCCCAGAGTACTTATTGTTCCGGATTTTTTCTAGTACATACAAACATGTTTTTATACGTACAAAATAAAAAGTAAAATTGGAAAAAGTTGATTTATTTCGAAGGTTTCTTTTATTATTGACTATTTAGAGGGGTATATCAAGGTCAAGTGATATAAAGCATTACTGGGTACCAGTCACGAATTTGCGTGTCTGCTGGGTTCGAGTGAATACTGTTTATTTATATACATATATATATATATATATAACAAAGTTATAGTTATTTCAAGGGAAAGAGAGAATTTTTCGCTCATTCCGTGTGTTCTCGAGAAACGATTTTTGATTAATATTATTATTTTTAATTTTTAATTGAGATATGTAACCACATAATTCTAATTATAATAATGCTCTATCGACTAAACGGTTATTCTGAAACAAGAACAGTCTTATGAACTATACGTACACCCACTTTAATGTATATTCTGTTGGCATGTCACTTCATACAACAATAAACCCGAATTTATAAATTTTCCAAGAAAACATCAAAACTATAGAATAATGTTAAACAATAATTACTACACTTTCTATGGGATAAATGTTTGTATGTTGAACACCTTTTTACAAATATGTATACATATATATATATACCAGTGGCGTATTTGAAGGGAGAGCGATAGGGGCAATCCCCCCCCTCGAGAATTTTTGAACTATGAACATTTTTATATAAGTAATGGGTATTTTATTAAGAAACAAAAATTATGATTTATTTTATAATATTACTAGATTTGAAAACGTTTCGAATTTTACACTAATTTAAATAATGCAAAACGCTAAATTTTTCATAATGTTTTAACTGTCAATAACGGTAAACGGAAAATTTTTAAAACGTTTAAATTTGTATAACGTTTAAACGCTTAAATTGAATAACGTTTAAATTATTTATAGCGTTAAACGCTCAATTGCTTATAACGTTTATATAACGTTTATATTCGTTCCATAACGATAAATAATATATATTATTTTGATTGAAGACCCAGTCCATACTTAGTGAAAAATTAGATAAAACACAAGAGAAACTTTCAAAACACAGATATGTGTTAAAAAATAACTACACAAAAGACCATTCCAAGTGGATCCGACATTAGATTAAAAAAAAAAAACACAAATATTAAGGATTCACCTGATATAAATATAACCAAAAATTTTACTTGTAAATTTTGAGCCTGAATTAAAGAAAAAAATTGAGTCGTTCTCCCCCCTAGAAGTAAGTCTAAATACGCCCCTGATATATAATGTTTTAAAAGCTATGAAATGGAAAATAATGATACAAATTCGATCATAGTCCTCGAACTGTTTTACGTTAATATTGTTAATGTTAAACATTTAGGTGCAATGTCGATATTTTATAAGAAACAACACAACGAACGTATACAATTATAAAAATTAAATAATAGTTTAAGTATAAAAACGTAAAAACAACTATGATAGTTATAATAATCGATAAACGCGGTGTTAAAACGGCATGGCTGTAATATGAGATGATTTGCACGGTATAAAATGTACGAAACAAAACTAGAAACACAGAGTTATTTTAAAATATGTACGATAGCGGCGAGAAATTCTATATTATATTGCACTTTCTTTTCATTGTATTTTATATTATTGTTTTCTCTCTTTACCGTGTACGATTAGAGCGCATTATTTACTATATTATACATTAGGTATACATATATATGTTTAGATAAATTTAACAAGCGAATATACGACTTAATTGATTCATTATGCTACTTACTGTGGCAAAAAATAATGGCGACGAGTCTTACGTCCATGTTGTACGTGCGGTTTGTAGACCTTTCAGTCGCGAATGATTGTGAGCGATGCAGGTACGAACGAACACCACACACACACACGAAATAAAATAATAATAATAGTAATAATAATAAAGTAACCAGCGTTATGTATTCACCTTCGTTCCGAGAAAACCACTTCTCAGTTCTCTCCCGCGTAGTAAAACCACACCAGCCATTAATGACGGCTTTAGGCGATAAAAACATGATTTTTTACATTCGATGGATTCTAATATAATTTTATTCATAACACTGTTCATATTATGTGGCGGTGCTGTTGATATTAGTTTCAATAATAATAATAATAATATAACGTATTATGTTATTACAATATATTATGTTTTAACGTTCGATAGGATTTTCTTGAACATTTTTTTTCCCCTCTTACTCTATTGTAATTGTTTTTTTTTTCATTCGATAACACCGAGAGTTGTTAACAACGGAAGAGTGGAAACATATTTCATAACACTGAAATCGACGATAAGAGAAAGAGAACAGTAGTGTACAGGAAGAGGTGATAGTGAGAAAGTCGATTATGTGGTAAAATAAAAGTCAAATTTAAATGTCTTTGTATACAGGACTTTTATTCGGAACATACATTACCATTAAATCTCTGAAATATGATTTCTTTTTTTTGCGTGTTTTGCCTTGCACACAGCTTTATAGCCGAACAATATAACATTACATAGTAACTAAATACCCGAAGTTTTACAATGATTTATTTGGTTTAAAAAAAATTGCTATGTATGGATAAATTTTAATTATTTAGCTTCACAATATTTAACGGATATTAAAAGCTTATAATATTACAATTTTATACCATCTATTTAATAACATTTTTCGTCCTACGTCTGAACTAAAAAAAATTGCCTTAAAAATATTATATTTTTTTTTACATACTAAACATTATGTTTTTTTTTTAGTGGTAAGCTAGTTTAAATGACAATTATATGATTTTATTTAGTCTTAAAGATAAAATACGGTTGCCTTTGTGAAATCAACTAGAAAAAGCATTTTTTTTTCTACAATAAGATAAAAACGAATAGCATATATTGTAACCGTATATAGTCGTATAGAATTAAAAACAAAAACAAAAAAAAAATGTTATATAAATACATTCAGCCGAGAAACAAAAAAAAAAAAAAAACGAAATAAATAAGGCACAAATTACAGAAAATGGTAAAAAAAAAAATATCTAACTTATAATATCCAATACAATAATAATAAGCTATGTATTACCTATCGAAATTATACAATTTGTTGAAAACGCCAAACAAATAATATGTATAGACTATTTAGGACAACAATTTATTTTAAAGGTATGTAAAGAATGAGATTTTGGTTTTGTAATTTGTCTTCCAATCCTTGCCCTAGTTAATTATACGCATAACACTTATATTTTATTGATAATATTTTTTTTTAACTCATAACAAAACTAAAAATGCAATAACTATTATTTTTTTTTTAAATTTTTTTATTTTTTACTCCAAACAAAATACTATACATTGAATTTTCTACAGGCAATTTGTTTAAAATGTATACACATATAATGGCTTAGCCTCTAAGCATAATTGCACGTAAACCAGCCAGGATTACAATATGTAGAGACGCGGAAGATCAAAAGTTTTTATTTAAGATGATTTTTACTTAAGACTTTTGATCAGCCTTGCACTATATATTATTATTATTATAATATATAACAAAATATTTACGAATAACTAATCCAACACTATGCATTGTTCAACGATTTTTTTTTTTTTTACTTACATAATATTTAATAGTCTAGGCCTATGGTAAATGAACACTCATTTTTGTTATAATTATTATTACAAATTGATTCATTTGAAGTTTTGGGTGACATTTTTATTTAGCGTTTTATTTTACCGATCTTTAATCTAAATTTTCAAAAAATTCGCATATATAAATAACTAATAAAACTATCAATAACAATAACAGCTATACATTTTTAAAATTTTTAATAATGAGGTTTATACGTATTCATTATACGCAATTTTTTTTTTAATTAATTGATTTTTTTTTTATACAGGGACATTGACGCAATGAGTGATTATTATTTAATTTATTGTAAATTTTTTAAAATTTTTAATAGTAAGTGTGTCGTTCGACCCATCCTCCTGGATGAGTCCTGAGCCAAAAACGCCGACTTTCATCATAAACAAATATGACTACGGCGAAAGGTAAAGCAGGGAGCCACCATTCGGCTTTTACGGGATAGGTCTTGAGCACCTCTGTCATACCTGGGCAGTAGGATACAAAACAGGCAGCTAATGTTTCGAAAACTATTCCGAAATTCAAAACCCAATTATCCATACCTTGATGTAAAATGGAATTATAACGAGTCTTGCAAATAATTAAATCAGCCCATTGAACTACAACAATAGCTATAAAGAAGGCAGTATGGCAGGTATATTCTAATTCTTTTCTATGCGTAAATGTCCATTCTTGGCCGTATGAGTCCTCTAAATCGTTTACCGACTTGGAATCCCATTCATTACGTATTCCAATTAATCTTCCAGGTAACCATCCACATTGCGCCATAATGACAAAGTATGAGAAAAATCCAGCGACCGCTTCTATCACACCGATTTGCCCATAAGCGACGAATATAAGTTTACCATTAACCAATTTGTCGTTTGCCGGATTCCTGGGATGTCTCAACATAATATCGGATTCTGCTCTTTCGTAAGCTAATGATATAGCTGGCCACATGTCAGTTCCCAAATCAATACAAAGTACAGCAACAACCCCAAGCGGCAGTGGAATACCGCTGAGAATGAAAAGTAAGAATGGTGTAATTTCTGGAACGTTGGATGCTAATGTATACGCTATAGATTTTTTCAAGTTATCGAAAATAAGACGGCCTTCTTCTACTCCAGTTACAATAGATGCAAAATTGTCGTCCAATAATATCATGTCAGCTGTCTGTTTGGATACATCTGAACCCGTGATACCCATGGCTATACCAATATCCGCTTTCTTTAAAGCCGGAGAATCATTTACACCGTCACCAGTTACAGCTACGATAGCTCCCAAATTTTGACATCCTTCAACAATATTTAATTTTTGTGTTGGTGAAGTTCGAGCGAATACGATTTCTCTATTCGTTCTTAACACATGTTCCAATTCTTCAGTTGACATATCCCTCAGTAATGAACCTTGAATAACAATAGTTGTAGATTCTCGTGGATCTAAAGATGATACTGGCACACGACGTCTTTTAGCGATGTCTTCAAGAGTTTCAGAGCCTTCTGTTATAATACCTACAGCCTTTGCAATAGCTTTAGCTGTCACAGGATGATCACCAGTTACCATGATAACACGAATACCAGCCGAACGACATTTTGCGACAGCATCTGGTACACCTGGTCTTGGAGGGTCAATCATAGACATAAGACCTAAAAATCTTAAATCGGTCAAAGGGAAATTAGGTGGATCGGTGGTAAAATTAAAACCAATTGGGAATTGCTCTGGACTCAGGAAAAGATCACAAAATCCCAGCACTCTCTCACCATAACTTCCTAGTTGTTCAATAATCTCGTCCATTTCTTGTCTGATGTTATCATCTAATTCAACAACACCATCGCCATATCGCATTCTACTACAACGAGCTAATATTCTCTCTGGAGCCCCTTTCATAACCAACAATTGGCCTTTTGACGGTAAAGCGTGAATTGAAACTTGAAATTTATCGGAAGAATTAAATGGAATTTCAGCTACCTTTTTGTGTTGTTCACGAAAAGCCATAACATCCCCCACAGCAAGCTCGGAAAATTTTATTATAGCTGCTTCAGATGCGTCACCCATGACTTCTCTTTTTAACACAGGTGTATTATCTTGTCCACAGATAAATTCAGCTCTACTACAAAGACATCCACCTCTAACGAGGGATTGGTAAGCTTTAGTGTTCCTAGCCTCTTCTGTTACACCAGTTGGATCCTTGAAATAGTCGACCTCAATAATTTCCTTATTATAACTTAAATGTGTTACAGTCATACGATTTTGGGTCAGCGTACCAGTTTTATCAGAACAAATTGTAGAAGTAGATCCAAGAGTTTCGACTGCTTCAAGATGTTTTACTACACAATTTTTTGAAGCCATTCGTTTTGCTGTTAATGACAAACATACGGTTACGGTTGCAAGAAGACCTTCTGGTACATTGGCAACAATTATTCCAATCAAGAATATGAAAGCATCTAACCAATGGTAACCAAGTAAGAATGCCATTATGAAAAATGATACGCCTAAGAAAATAGCCCAAGCTGAAATCAAATGCATAAAATGGTGAATTTCATTAGCAATTGGAGTATCTCTTTGTTCCAGCCTTGTGGTCAGTCCTGCGATACGTCCCATTACGGTGTTATCGCCACAGAGTATCACAACCGCTTTTGCAGTTCCTTCAACAGCATTGGTGGAAAAGAAAGCCAAATTGGTTGCTTCTAGTACTTGTACTTTGGATACGGCAGAATCTCTAGGTTGGGGTTCAGTTTCTCCAGTTAAAGATGAATTGTCTACCTTGAAGTTATGACTCTCAATAATACGGACGTCAGCAGGAACGCGATCACCAAATTTCACTTCCACAATATCACCTTTTACCAGTTCTGAGCTTAGTATGTTTTTCCGTTCGCCATCTCGCACAACATTAGCATATTGTGGTACCATGTTCTTAAACGAGTCCATAATTCTCGAGCTTTTTGCTTCTTGACTGTAAGCAAAAACGCCTGTTATTACGCAAACAAGTACTAATACCGTACCCAACCATAGATTGTCTTCCTGGGGTTCTTCAGAAGTGGAATATTGAATACCATATGCCAGGAAACACAGGGCCGCACCTGCCCATAACAGGATTGAAAATCCTTCAAACAGGTGCTTTAATAGGATAATCCACGCAGGAGTCCTTTTAGGTGGGGTTAAAGCATTAGGTCCATCCCTAAGCAATAGTTTTTTAGCTTGAGAGGTTGTTAAACCTCTCTCAGGATCTGTCTCATAACGAGCATATACCTCTGGCAACGGTATCCGGTGATCGTTTAAGTCGATTTCTTTTTTGAGATCGCTCATTTTGGCACCTTTGGTACCACCGCTTTCCGCCTCTTTGGAACCCATTTTGGACAGAATATAAGGGACTTTTTTTTGTAAAAATACAATTAAAAACTGTTAACGGTTTCAAAAATATTTGTAGGAATTCATGATTATTATTATTATTATTTTTACAAAATATATAAATACACTAACTAATTGGAATAACGAATTTACGCCAACAACTTATAATATTACTTATAACGACCTTTTCATTTGATTACAAATAGGCGATTCGATCTCTATTCTGTGATCGAGATAATCGATTATGACTAAGAGGTTCATTTTTCAAAATATTAAATAATATCACAGACTTAGAATAAAGTGTGACTCCGATTTTCCGAAGTGTGTATGTGTGTGTGCTGTTGTTATTCTGGATCAGCGTGGATCAAGACGTCTTGTCCCGCATGATGGTTTTCTGCCCAAAAAAAAAAAAAAAAAACAAAAATAAAATAAAGTAGCAATATATTTTAATTCAGTAAATTTATAAATGAAAACTACTATTGCTAACATTTGAACGTTATTATAATTGTTATCCTAATTTATATTTAAATACACTTGAAGACAATACCGAAACGCGATACATTTGATTATCTTGCCAAATTTCTTTTTTAAATTGCTATTACTCGGAAACTTACAATTTTTGTGAAAAAGACATTTATCGATTTAAATTTTCAATTATTTAAATTATATGTATTCAAAAATTAATTTATTGGTACGTTTGTTACTAATTTATCCAAATATTATTGTTTGGCTAACTGTATTTATTGAACAAATATATGGAAATTCAATGTTATAAAATATATAAAAATATTGGTGATAGAATTAATTTTTTTTTACAGAATTTGTACAGATTTGACATTTAATTAATTTTAATTGATTAACGCTTTTTTTATATCACAAACGTAATATATTAAAATTAAAAATAATTATGAAATGTCGAATAAAAAAAAAAAAATTTTAATCCATCATTTTTGTTGTATAGTTAGTATATAAAGTTCATAAATGTAACTTGCGAAAACAAATTAATTATACAGTATATTTTTATTTGATTCTTGAGAAAACAAATAACTTAAGTTATCAACAATATATTATACTTTATGAAAACAAAATATTTTTTATGATTTTATACTAAAATGATGTAATCGAAGTTTTAGATAATACGTTTATTTGTTTAACATTTAAGATAAATTATAATATTTTTAAAAATACTAATTCTTTATTCGTTGTAATAGAAGAAGTAAAAATATTCAACATAACATATGTTAAATTACGATAATCATATCAAATTATTTTGTCTAAAAAATTGTACTTTAGTTAATTTTACCACTAAGTTAAACAAATTTATTTAACTAACAATTATTTCACAAGCCATTACATTCGGTTCTTAACAATTAATTTCTTTCATTTGAGAGTTTATTTTTAATTTATTCTATAGTAAACATAAAATGTATTTTTATAAAAATTAAAAGAAAACTTTTATTTTCATATTTAATAATTTGAATAAAACTAATGATGACAAAAACTAAATTGGATTATGCACTTTCATAACTACATTAAATCACGTTTTTTTTTTTTACCACGAACATATAGTAACTGGAAAAGCTATTATTGATGACTAAATAACCATGAACTTCCGTCTGAGTATTCGATTAATTCAATCTAGTTATCCCTAGTATATTTTAATTTCTATTTAAAGAACCATAACCAAATTAATGTCTATCTAGAATATAGAAAGTATAAGCGCATGTTGAAAAATCGAATTGTTTGACTGGAAATATTACGTCAACTATTTTAGGTTAAGACGAATAGTTGGCTCAGCCGCAGTGCGGACCTACACGCCACATTTACCCTCTGCGCCGGCCCACACGCATGCCACTCCGTTCCATCAGTCCCCTCGCCCAGACCTCATTCGCCCACTGCTGCGACCTATTTTACCACCCGTTTCGGCACTAGCGCGCTCACCGTTCGATAACAGCACACCGTTTTCACACACACGTCAACTTTAACAATAATAGCAGAAAAAATATGTCGACTTTAAGATTATGTAAAAAAAAAACGAAGTTTAAGAAAATATCGTTAGACAATTATGTGACAAAAAATTACCATACGTCAACACACAATGTTATATAACATAGATATTATACAGTTGTTACACAACAGTTGTATATTATGCAGAAAAATAAATTCGGGCATAAATTATTATTACGACAGTTACTCACCAATTTGTCTAGGGTATCCAAATGATGAATATAATCCTGGTATATATATATATATATTTATATAGTGAACCGATGAACAGATGTTGTCAGAGAACGAACACAACTGAGTCGCACTTATAGTTAACAACGAATAAACAATTTAACAAACTTAAAAAAAAAAAAAAAAAGCCGGACTAAATAAATGCGGGATGGTCTGAGTTTCGGGGATCGGGATAAGGCAAGCAGATGAATCAAAGGAGACGCAGCAGAAGGAATAAAAACGGGGGAAAAAAGGAAAAAGAAAAACCGTCTAGTGATCTTAAAATAAAAGACAGGAAAATCTGTCCGGTACGTTAGAGCGGTTACAATAACGCGGGTCCCGCGGCTCACGGCGGCAGCAGCTGAACTCCTCTCAGGCGGCGTATCGGGCCGGCTGCCGAGGCGACGACGACGGCGCGGGTCTGTCCTGTAAAGTTCTATTCTGGGACGCGCGTGCGCGGCCATTGTGGTGGTGCGACGGGTGGCCGGGAGGGTTTCAGCAGTGGTACGGTGGCGGTGTCGGCGGCGGCGGTCTCCTATGGATCCGTCGGGCGTCCAGGCGCCAGGCGCGGTTGCCATTCCACGCCCCCTCCACCACCGTTCGCTCACGCCACCATCCCTAACCCGTTCACTATCACCCCCCCAGGGGGAGGGGGACGCGTACCCTCAGGCCACCGTCACCGCGACCACCACCCTCTTCCCGCGATACGCCCCATCTCGTCAAGCGGCGCAGAGTCCACCGTCGTCGCACGGGGCATACACACCTCGTGTCAATTTTTTACGGAGATATTTCACGCCGTTGCCGATTAGTGTGCCTACTACTATTACCACCACCACTACTACTACAATTCGCACCCGTCGTTAGGTATTTACATATGCGTATTATTGTACTATGTTGTTATTCTAATGCACATTGATGCGTGCGAATTTAACATAATTTTATACGTTTACTGAAGGTGTGTGTGTGTGTGTGTATGTGCATGTGTATGCGTACAGTATGTAGTACGCGCTTAATATCAAAGTCGGCAGCGGCAGCGGCGGTGGCGGTAACGGCAACGGTAACAGCTCCGACCTCGTCTCGACCGGTTCAGGAATTTGCACGTTCAACCCTGGGTCCATCGACAGTTTTTTATACCGTCCGATAGCGTCGTGCATAAGAGACCGCTGCCACTTGTCATCGGGTTTGTAACAAATGGTCGCGAAGTCACACGGGACGACCCCAAAGAGCTCATTTTCCACGGCCTGAGAGTAAGCCGTCCTCCGGCATGGATCGTCATGCAGTGTCACAGTACGTCGTCGAGACCGATCAACCGCTCTGCCGATCGCGTGTCGTGTTATATCCTCGATGATAATACTTTGTACCCCTGTGTTCCCTGCCTTGCTGTTGTTCGTCTTCCCCTTTCCCCTTATCGGTCGCCCACCACCACCACACACTTTCGGTGTTCACCTTTTCCCTCTAATCCCCAAAACCCTACCACACCGTCCCTTGTCGTGATCGTGTGCCAGTGCCCGGAGAACGGCCGTGGCCCGAACTTATATTGTGCATGCTTATTCGCAATACTAAACGTTGCGTGAATCAAATTTTTACTTTTTTTCAGTAACCCTTCTCCACTCTCTTATCCCGAAGTCCCTATCGTGTTAGTTCATTAGACAAATTTGTTTCTTAATTTTATCATCACTCGTCGTTAATTTTGCACACGATCAAATCATTCGGCCATCGTCGTAATAAAAATCATTATTATAATATCGTCATTTATTACGATTACCAAGTCCATGACCACGTGTTATAACTAATTTTCAAAAAAAAGCTGCGACCGACCGTATGACCGTAAAAATAATAATTATATTAAATTTTAATGTAGTTACAATGACGAATAATTATTATAAATGTAATATAAATGTAACGAATTATTGTTAAAACGTACATAGGCAAGATGTACCATGCAAAACGCGACCGCCGTTAAATTGCATAAGTCGTGCGCCGTATAAATGTTCGCGTCATCATCGAGGTTACAGTCATCCGTTATTATTATAATATGAAAAGGAATTAATTTTCAAAGTTATTTATATATACTATACGCATACGCGTAAAATATATGTAATACACATCATTTTGGTACCTAACCAACATTCTGCGTAATCGTGACTAACAGCCGGCCCGGGTTTTGATTTATATAAAACCTGATGTGCGTCTACGCCTATTTTTATTTATTTATATAAACATGGTAATATCATGGTTAATAATCTGGTGCTTGAAATTCCGATAATATTATATACGATAATTTGAATAAAACGTGCCGCACCTGTAACGATTCGGTAATGATCGATTAAACAATTAATTATTTTCTTATATAGCAATTATTGACGAATAACTAAAAAAAAATTTAATGATAATCCCTTAATAACTTTACAATATATTATACTTTTTTATTTTGTTTTATAATTTGGCAGTTCATTGTATTTTATGTTTAATATTTAACGTCATATACACCATTTCAAAATGTTAATTACTCGTGGGATCGGAACAAAAAATAATTCACAGCAGATTTTAATCGATACATCTCTCAAGGGATTCTATTGAAATTTGGATGTACTATAACAATATATATACATATATACTCAATGTATTGAAATCAGAAAATATTTTCGAGTATTTCGCGCCACGGCACACCAATAAAAAAAAAAAAAAAAAATGTATTGCTATAAAATCATAGTACTTGATTCAGTATATACATCAGAATTTCAATGCATATTACGAAACGATAAATCGTGTTCGAGGAGCAGGTAATATATTTTGCGCGCGCGCGTGTGTGTAAACTCCAATCCAGTTTTTTGCAGATGATAATCAATAATGTTTTCGTGGTCTTCTAAATTATAATGGAGGAAGTTTGAAAAATAAACAGTCATATACAAGCCATCGTGCAAGCCACTATACTGCATAACATAATGACCGTCATAAATAGGAAATTTTGAACTACAGTAAGTTTATTGAAATCAAAAAAGAAATGATGTAATTCAAAATGTGAAACGGAAAATAATAATTTACCGGTGGGAGGGGAGAGTCACTGGGTCATCGTAGTCGTGTTTAATTTTCCACGCGTGTACGCAAATATTGACAACATTAAATTAAATGGCTAAAACAAACACGTCACGTATATATTACGTGTGTACGTTACAAAGTTTAAGGAAAAGTCTTCAAAATTGAACAATATATTATACGTTGTGAGCGTATGTAAATACGTGTCATAATAAATTAAAAATGTTTGCTCGAAAAAACACTCGAGATTTACGAACGATACGTGTTTGTCAGAAACGCTATATACTTCAAACGTATTTTCAAGTTTTCGTCGTTTTCGCGTTCAACCCGACTTCGTTATTTCAAACGCTTCACAAGCCGGTGGCACGTGTCGTCGTTTTCGTTTTCACCCGAAATGCAAACACGTCGGTTATATCGCGGACACGTATTAAACCTAATTTATGTATACAATATTGCTGCGCGTTTCGCGGACTCTTAAATTATTTTCCATACCTTTTATATGCACACAAGGAACAAACAAAATGCTTTACAACGCATTTATTAATATGAGTCCGGCCGAATCTTTCTATTACACCCTGTACCTATATATATATTATAGGTAGGGCTGTATTGTAAATCCAATCGACCCTTTAGTCGCCACTTTAACGATGGTTCTGGCGAGAAGCTTGAGGGACGCGTATATATATATAATAAAGAGTTTGTGCGTGTAAAGGTAGGTGCGTACACATCGTTACCCGTGCGCGCAGACAGTGGTGACGATGACGGAATCAGCAGCAGCAGCAGTGCAAGCGAGGGTTGATGGCGGCGGCGGCTTAACAGCTGTAGTACGCGTCGTAGTCGGTAGTTGGTAGGGCTGAACAGCAAGGACAACGCCGCCGGCACCGACGTAAAATCAATACAGCTTCTAAAACCAGGCTAATAACTTGACCCTTCAGCTGGAGTCTACATCTAACGATATGCACACGCGCGTACTACACACCCACACAGATGTATACGTGCGCGCGTGTGTAATACAATAACCGGACGCGTGTAAGCGTGCGTACAATACGATACGTATATGCAAACGTACGCTCCGTACGTACCGTCGCCATGTTTTTCGGTGTATGATCGATTTCGCGTTACATAACAAAAACTTGCAACGATACGTTACGTTATTATTATTATTATTGCTATTGATTCGCGGTAATAATACGGTACCATGCAGACATGGGACTCGCGGGACCCTTCATCGAGCGCGTACGACGATGCCAGGACGTGGAACCAACCGCGGCCGGCAGCTGCACCAGCGGTGAAAGCAGCGGGAAGCACCTCGGTACACCGATGTACGTGATGGCTTCGCTGATTTCCGGAAAAATCGGGTTACCCGTGGCCAAACGCCTTTTGGTCTTTTCAAAATCCCCCTTTGGCGTATAAATAAAATGTGGTGCAGATAAAATCGGTGCTTTCCCGGCGAGCTTTATGTCGCGTCGTCCAACAGAGACTTACTAATACTTATGTATACGTATATATTATGCAGATCCAATGCGTGTCGATAATACATTTTCAATTTTTTCCTAACCCTTGGACAAATCAAACATAATATTTTCTTATGTAAGACGCAGTGGTTAAATAGTATAAGAAACATTGCAATAAGTATATAAATTATCATGGGACGCTCTGCGTAGGGCAGACGCAACTGCATTTTCCCGGGAGGGTCAACGTTAAAAGCGCTCCCTGAGTAGGCATTGATCTCGGTACTAAAATTGTCACGCCGGCTGTACGGTTGATGGCGTTATTTATATGTCTACTGTACCATATATGTATACAGATAACTGCCACTTCCTATCGCCGCGAATTCCTGGTTATTTTTCAGTGATATAGTACTAAAGACAATGTTCGTAAAACATATACAATGTATGTAAAATACAACCCGTTACATAGGTGCTCATGGTCACCGTAAACTATACGGTTTAATAGTTAGATCATCTACATTACTATGGATTAGCTTTAAAATCAATAAACCAGTGCACACATACAAATATTATATAAATTTAACAGTTTCATTAAGCGATTTGAAAACAGATTAATTGTGTAATGTATCTATCATACGTAATTATTATTTTTTACGATTTTTTTAAACCACTGTAAAAACACTATGTCTTCAGTTGACTACAAAGGCGACATAATTTTTTTGCCTCTTTAATTTTACTTTTTTAACGAACGTTGGCTCTATATTTGTTTTGTAAACACAAGACAACTATAAATACCTAGTGATACTTAAAATTCATGAACTCACATTATTAAACTATGCCGTATTTTGTTCTGATTTAGTTAAATTGTTCTCTTGTTGTTTAAACAATATTACAGTATTTTTAATATTTGTGATAAT